AATATAAAAGTGAAAATATAAAAGTGAAAATATAAAAGTGAAAATATAAAAGTGAAAATATAAAAGTGAAAATATAAAAGTGAAAGTATAAAAGTGAAAATATAAAAGTGAAAATATAAAAGTGAAAATATAAAAGTGAAAATATAAAAGTGAAAATATAAAAGTGAAAATATAAAAGTGAAAATATAAAAGTGAAAGTATAAAAGTGAAAATATAAAAGTGAAAATATAAAAGTGAAAATATAAAAGTGAAAATATAAAAGTTAAAGTTGGTGATGAGCGTCTAAGCAGGAAGACCACCTGGGGCTATGGTATGTGTGATTCAGCATTTCATTGATGTCTGACTTGGAACCGAAAGACACGATGTCGTCGGCTGCTGACATGGCCGGAAATCCACTGCATATCGCAGTAAAACCGAATCCAGCTTTCGCGCATGTAACCGTCTTTATACGCATGGCCTAAAAGCTTTCTTACTGTCAAAATAAGTTGTGCCTAAAACTGTAAAAGTTAAAATATAAAAGTTAAAATATAAAAGTTAAAATATAAAAGTTAAAAGTGAAAATATAAAAGTGAAAATATAAAAGTGAAAATATAAAAGTGAAAATGTAAAAGTGAAAATATAAAAGTGAAAATGTAAAAGTGAAAATATAAAAGTGAAAATATAAAAGTGAAAATATAAAAGTGAAAATATAAAAGTGAAAATATAAAAGTGAAAATATAAAAGTGAAAATATAAAAGTTAAAGTTGGAGTTGAGCGTCTAAGCAGGAAGACCACCTGGGGCTATGGTATGTGATTAAACACTTCAAGTTCATGTCACGATATCGACGGCTGTTGACATGCATGGCCGGAATTCCACTGCGTATCGTAGTAAAGTATCCAGCCTTCGGGCATGTAACCGTCTTTATACGTATGACTTAAAAACTAATCATAAAATATAAAATATAAAAGTGGAAATATAAAAGTGAAAACATAAAAGTGAAAATATAAAAGTGAAAACATAAAAGTGAAAATATAAAAGTGAAAATATAAAATATAAAAGTGAAAATATAAAAGTGAAAATATAAAATATAAAATATAA